ATTCAAAATAGCAATTTGGATAATGAGAATTTGTAGTTTCAGTGAAATGTATAGTGCATCACATCTGAAAATAATGCTGCATTGCAATTGTTTACTACACAAAAATGTCAGTACTCACCTCTGAAGCTAACAAAACCTTTAAATAGACTTATTAAGAAGGAATATAGTTACGATACTGTTGTCAGGTCATTAAAGATTGCATATTTTGGCGTTAATATTGATTCACTTATAGGGTCTTTGCATAAGCACTAAACACATTTATTTAAAAACCAGTTGTTGGCATGACACGGGTTATGTTCTTCTCATATATGTTATGATGGTATGATACTAAACCCCTAACGGGAAAGATTTTGCCTGATATTCATATGATGAAGACATAATCTTTCAATCAGTTTAATTGAAGTATGGAGCTGGCATGTCAGTTAACTGCTAGTAGTCTGTTGTTATTTATGTATTATTGTCATTTTGTTTATTTTCTTTGGTTACATCTTCTGACATCAGACTCGGACTTCTCTTGAACTGAATTTCAATGTGCGTATTGTTATGCGTTTACTTTTCTACATTGGCTAGAGGTATAGGGGGAGGGTTGAGATCTCATAAACATGTTTAACCCCGCCGCATTTTTGCGCCTGTCCCAAGTCAGGAGCCTCTAGCCTTTGTTAGTCTTGTATTATTTTTAATTTTAGTTTCTTGTGTACAATTTGGAGTTTAGTATGGCGTTCATTATCACTGAACTAGTATATATATTTGTTTAGGGACCAGCTGAAGGACGCCTCCGGGTGCGGGAATTTCTCGCTGCATTGAAGGCCTGTTAGTGACCTTCTGCTGTTGTCTGTTCTATGGTCGGGTTGTTGTCTCTTTTACACATTCCCCATTTCCATTCTCAATTTTATTGACTACCCATGAGGGTATCTCACTGTCCGTCACTATTGTTGAGTATCAAACGTCTGCTTGCTATACTTAAAGTCTGAATGTACATGTTTATAAATAAAGTCTAAATTACTGTTCAAAGTGGAACTGGCATTTTATACTGGTCAATCAAATTAAACAATACATGTACTTCAAAGTATCATTTTATTATCTTGCCTGCGAAAAAAATTAAAGTATGTAAGAAATAGGTATTACAATCTGGTTGCGGCGACAGTGTAAACTATTCGTATAAAGCTTTACATTTTAGAAGCTAAAAGACCTGGATGCTTCTTATCTTGTATTCAGATAGTAAATATGTTGATATGAAGTTTCTGTCTGTCATATATCTATATATATTTGGTACATGGGTATCTTGCAAGGTCTACATGTCTGTCATGTAGGGTTCACCCGACCTTGACTTCATTTCAAGATTCAGTGATTTAGGTTATTTAGTTAGTAGTTACATTGTCAAGTCCGTTTCTCAGATACTTTAAGCACTAGATCAACTATTTTTTGGTGTGGAATGATAATAAGGTGTATATGTCTGACTTGCAGGTTTCATCCGACCTTGGCTTCAATGTCATGGTTCATTGAACAATGTTAAGTTTTTGGGGTTTGGTCTACATTGTATATCCCAATGTTTCTCAGATGCTATAAGCTATAAGATCACAATTTTTGAGATATGGAATGATCATAAGGTGTACATGTTTGATTGGATGGTTTCATCTGACCGTGACCTCATTTTCATGGTTCATTGCACAATATTTTCTTTTCATGGTTTGGATGTTTAGTCTATTTCTCCGATACATTTGTACTATAAACCACTACATTCATTAAATTTGGGTTATGTAATGATTGTAAGCTGTAAATCATCTGTCTGGCATTGTTAATTTGACTTTGACTTCATTTTAATGGATCATTGATAATTTCATGAATTTTAAGTGTATGTGATACTTGCAATAGTTATGATTGTAGTAAAACTTTCATATTACAGACTTTCAATATTCATAAATTCAATTATACATGTAGGTAAATCAGACGTGACATTTCAGCGTTTTCACTCTTGTTTATATCAAAAGTCAGAGAACTATTAACAATGATTATTAACATTCATTTGATAATATTATAGTTTTGTATAATGTAAAATAACCGGAATAAGGAGATGTGGTATGAATTTCGATGACACAACCATCAAATTCAACAAACAAACAAAAGCCACTATAATCATTTAAAAAGAAGCCTCTATCAGGGTTTTGCAACCCACCATATAAGAATGAAAGTAAAATATTTATAAAAAAATGATTGAAAACTAAAGAATTATGCATACCAACATGTTTAGAGGTCACCAGTACTTAATACCAGTTGGCGACAAAATTTAATAAAAATTTTGTCAGTTAAGGATATAAAACAATAATTTCTTCATTATCATATCTGATGTCTCCTATTGTTATAGGCCCATTGATAACAACTGTATTATGGTTTACCAAAATCCGTTATATGTGATCCAATATTTACAAGCTTCTGATCTCGGGCATGTTTTTCTACAGAATCATTTTATTTGCTTTTGAATAAATGCCTTCAAAATATCCCAATATGTTTTTGCTACCCTTTTATTATACACAATTTGCATTACAAGGGCGTGTTTGTATTATGTACTATAGGGTGAGCTGTTTGTTTTATCTTTAATTTTATTTGAAAGCATATTTTGGGGTTTTAATTTGCTATGATTCGAAAACTTTTAGCAAAAGAAAAAATATAACAAGAAATAAAAAAAGAAAATAATATAAATAGTGGTTTCAAGACGGAGGATGAGAATTGGAATTTTCTTTTTGTGGCTGTACAATTAGAGTTTGACTCTCTTGCTTATCAATGGTGAATACACAATGTAATAACTATTGTTGTACATTATTAATATATCATGGTGTGAAAAGCTCATGAAATACAAATATGCAGCTGGCTAAAACATGATATTAAAACGGGTGATGTGAGTAACCTGCTATGATGAGACATCAACACAAAAACAACAACAATTTAATTTAGAGGTCAACATATACATGACATAGCTTTCAACAAAAACAAAAACAGTCATGAAAATTCTAACTAGTAGATTTTTTTTATAAGATCATGAAAAATCAAATGATGTGGTATAATTTTGTTACAAAAAAAAATGTGGTCTCAAATAAAAGCTAAAAAACAATCAAATGATTTCTATTAGTGTCCATGCCGTATGAAATAAGCCCTCGGGAATAAGTAGTTTAAAACGGGGATGACAGGTATGTATATTCCCGCTGGGTTTATAATATATTGACCGTTATTATGATGTGATTCGTAAAACTACGGGCATTGGAGATAGCCTTAAATGCATGAATGACTTAATTAAAAAGTTGTTGTTTCGATAATTTTGAAAAGGGTTAACTGTTACCGTTGAAGATATTGGAAAAATCTGTTTTCAATTTATCTTATAGGTGAGGTGTTTTTTCATATGAAGTATTTAATGCGTATAAGACAGCCCCATGTGAAATTGCTGGTTCAGAATTTGTTTCAAAGATATGTGAGGCAAGGTAGTTTTAAATAAGTTGATAAGTTAAACAAATAACCAAATTAGTTGCGAATACCAAAATATTCAGTGACAAATATTTCAATATCCTATTTCTTTTACATCAGTTATTATTTAAATCAATGTTTTAAATGGGTGCGACAATGCTGTCTATTTTGTTACAACTTTATTAATACGCAAAGTGAAATTGTTTTACAGAATGTAGCTATGACTATATAATGGCTGTACCAAACATATTTTAACTGTAACAACCTTTTCGGCGTTTAAACAGTTCATTTATGACTCTTTCAAGGTTTTTTGCTTTGGGATCGTTATGAAATAACTGTTACAACCTTCAAATGGTTCCAGCAGTCGTATTATAACTGTGACAACCTTTTCGTCGTTAAAACAGTTTGTTTATGACTGTTGCAACGTTTTTCGAGTTGGGACAGTTGTAAATCAACTATTACAACTTTAAAATAATTGTATCAGTCCTATAATGACTGTGACAACTATTTTTAGCGTTGTTGCAATCGATTTATGTATAAGACAAACACTGTTAAAGTTGGAACAGTTAAAAAATAACTGCAACAGTGAAATTTTACAACTGTTACAACTTTGACAAATATTATCAGTCGTAAAATAACTGTTACTGGTATGGACAGTTGTTTTTTCTTTCAATAGTGGAGAAACGCATGAATTTGACGCTACAATGGTTTGATGTCAACATAATAAATAAGTTGATCGATACGATAGGTCTATGTATCAAATCACTAGAGACATGTGTTCGCAGTCTTAGAACATATATACCTGAATAGTTTTTTAATTTACATTTTTAGAGTATTCCTATAGAGGGTGTTGTATTTTTAGCATGTGAATTATAGGATTTAAACATCTGTTAACTACAGGTGCCTTAATTTATGAAAATAATACAAAAAAAAAATATTGTTGGATTCTGTGTAACATAAAGGATAACGTTTTGCCTATTGTTTGACAAGGAATAATATAAGACTATTTATTATTCTTTTTTTATTTTGATATCCCATTTGATTTGAGATATTGTTTATTCATCTATGGTTACTCAATTTATTTTAACCTCCATTTAAAATAATTAATTTAATATGATCCTGTCCCTTGTAGTTGCTTACAAATTCTACAAACATGTACACAATTTAATTATATTCATTATATTCGTGACATTTTGTGCACTTTATCTAATATTGTGAAATTTAATTAATGTACCAAGTATACTGCACAAAATGCAGTTTTTGACATAATGTGTCTTCACTAATGCTCAAAGTCAGAATATTAGGACAATAAGACACATGTTACGTTGATTAGCTTAAATACCCCCCCCCCCCCCCCCCCCCAAAAAAAAGGACCAAACGTAAACGAAATCGTTCCATTAAAACAAAATTGATGTTAACAAGTCCATTAAATGTTGCCTACATTATGAGCACTGATACGTATAAATTTGATGTGTATTATCATAATAATTTGATTTCAACTATTGCATCATAATACTACAAGTATATAGTAATTTCCTTTTCACCAGCTATGGTCTTTTCTCCTACACCAACCGACTGTAGCGAATTTCCTCCTGGAACATGTACTGGGGTACATACTATCCAGCCAGAAAACGGTCCAACCATAACTGTGTTTTGTGACATGGACACTGATGGTAGAGGGTGGACGGTAAGTTAGATTTTTCTGTCAATAAAAAAAAAAATATTATAAAAAAAGGCACCAGTAGTATACAGCTGTTCAGTAGTCATCAATCGATTTAACTGAAACAAATCCGGGTCACAACCAAAACCGAGGGAAACACATCAACTATAAGAGGAAAACAACGGAACAACATAAATACTGAACTGCTACAAAATCAAACGCCAACATACAGAGAACCGGACTATTTGATAACAACTGCCATATTCCTGGCTTGGTACAGGACATTTTAAGAAAAAAGGTGGGTTGAACCAGGTTGTATGGCTAGCCAAACCTTCCGATTATATGGCAATATAACTGTATTAATTTTTTTCACTGAAGTGTAGTTATAGAAAAAAAATGCACTTACTCTATATCTAATAATAAAACATTGTTAATTCAATTAATTTCATTTTTTTAGAAAATGTCATTCTTAAAGATATCGTTAAAAAAAAGTGTATCAAAATTATTAACTGCGAAAATTAGAAATTGAAAATTGATTTTTTTTTTAAAATAGTAGCACAAACTCTACAAAAAAATTGAAAAAAAGATTGTTTGCAAATATAATAATTGTTTATTTAAATTTATTCTGAAGTATACTATTATTTTCATGACGTTGGGTCTTAAAATCTTCGTTTATATTCAAAATACTTTGTATCTGTAGACAATTCAAAGACGATTTGATGGAAATGTTGATTTCTATAGAGATTGGGAGGATTACAAAACTGGATTTGGGGATATAGCAGGAGAACATTGGCTTGGTAAGATATTTTAATTAGAATTTTGTTTTTATTACCGGTTTGTAGTAACACGACGGGTTAGCATGTAAAGCAGGATCTGCTTACCCTTTCGGAGCACCTGAGATCACCCCAAGTTTTTGGTAGGGTTCGTGTTACTCAGTCTTCAGTTTTCTATGTTGTGTTTTGTGTACTTTTGTACGACTGTTTGTCTTTTTCTTTTGGCGTTGTCAGTTTATTTCGACTTATGAGTTTGCATGTTCCTTTGGTATCTTTCCCCTCTCTTGTCTAATTAACAACAGACGGAAATTAAATAAACATTTTCCAACAACAGCAGTTTACATACAAGCTAATTTGACCTTATGCATGCTAATAGAATAACCTAACTATTTGATTATATTCAAGCATATTTATAAATATATTAGTTTCAAACTTGATTCGGTTGGCATGTGAAAACCGTAACTTACATTTTACTATATGTTTAAGCATATTTGTAATAGTCTAAGATCCAAAAACTTAAATTGTTTGTTACATCAAACGTGTGATAGCCATCAATACGTATGGTTTGTGACTCTGTTGTAACGTTCATCGAAAGTGTGATAGCCATCAATACGAATGGCTTGTGACTCTGGTGTCACGTTCATCGAACGTGTGATAGCCATCAATACGAATGGCTTGTGACGACTCTGTTGTATCGTTCATCTAACGTGTGATAGCCATCAAAACGTATGCCTTGTGATTCTGTTAGTGTTAATCGAACGTTTGATAGCCATCAACACGTATGGCTGAGATCTCGAAATACTACCTTGAAACTTTATGCTTTTATGATGGACAATAACATGAACAATTCAAAGGGCGAACTTTATAAACACCGAGAACAGTGTTGCCCATAACAAGCACGATATTTTAAAAAGTGTTTGTCAGTGGTTTTCCTTACTACAATCTACTACAATCTACGTTGGTGTTATTCTTTTTGTGTTGATTGCAGGTGTTTGATACTAAATCAATTACTTTTCTAGTACTTAATCTTGGTAAATCTTGGTAGAAAATATTACATCGTGTTTATACAATTTATTTGTTGGAGACGATTTTTAACGTTTAAATGTCTGTTTGTTTGTTTTCTTGTTTGAGAAGGAATGAAAGGTTGCTCGCCGATTTCTTGATATTCAAAAAATCTATTTCATTGTACACAAATATCTATGAATTTTCAAGGTTTAAAGCAGTATATCGACAGAATATGTACCGCTAATTATCTTTTAATTATTATTTATTTCAAAAGGAAATGACAATCTTCATTATATTCTTCGACAACAAAAAAATTACCAAGTCCGATTTGATCTTGAAGATGTCAATAAGACTACAGCTTATGCTGTGTACGATGGAATATGTGTGGGGAGTGAGAGCACTAACTACCAGCTTACAATTACAAGTTACAGTGGAACAGCAGGTAATCATAATTTAAACTTATAATTACACAGGATTAAGTCCCCTTGTACAGTTGTTATTTAAATATAACCTGAAAATTGATATTGAAAGCTGTAATGGTAAATCTAGGACCGTAAAGAAATGGAATGTGAATTATCTATAAGTTTACCTTTAATTACCTGTAAAATGAATTGCAAAAACTTTATAAAACGTTGTGCGTAAATTTAATGATTTGTATGCGCAAATGTAGGGGGAATGCGTGCGTACGTAATGTACCGATCGTTGATAATTATTTGGGGACCTATTGTGTGGAGATGTGAAAATGAAGTGTTAATTCTCAATTGTCTGCTAAAAAAAAGGATCAACCTGAAGAAAAAACAAGTGTTATTGGTTTTTGTTCTGTGGATTGGATATCAAGAACCTAGATGCACGAGTTATAATCGAAAATCTGTTCTTGATTTTTGTGAGTCGAGTTTTTTAAGACCGAGTAAATAATCATTTGAAGTAAAAGTATATTTGTATGCCTGGCCAAATATAAAATCAGCATTACCAATTCAGCAATTGTTATTTTGGAAAACAAAATTTAGCCCTTGAAAAATGTCACCTATGGACCCCTCAAAGAATTCTGTTCTTAACGTGCAGAGGGCGTGGCAGTATCTACACGAGACAGTGGATTTCACGTCATAATTTAGACCAGACGTGGCTGGAATTTATACATCCCACATAGCCAAACGGATGCCTTTCTTTGATAACCGTTTTACTGCCGTTCGGAAAAACAGGAATTACCATTTTTCTTTAACCTAGTCAACTGTTTGGGTTTGCACGTGCATTGTGTTTACACTAATAATTTAATGGACCCGTTTGAACTTTTACCTGCAGACATCAAAGACAATGAAATTTAAAAAATTGTTAGCCATCTGTCACTCTTAGCTCTGTTCATACTTTTTGACCTTATAAAAATTAATCAAAGATGAAATTTTTTGAAAGTAAATGTTGGTGACACTCCCCTGTAAAATAAATGGGTCCGGTCTTGTCAATGATAACAGTACGTAATTCGACCGGATTTAACATGCTTGCAAGTCAATCATATGCCTAGTACAAGACAGTGGTGTAAAACAGAAGATGAGAATAGACTATAAAACATTTAGAAAAGACTCGTCATCTAAGGCAAACATTTTTCAACGAGCTCCTCTGTCCGTTTTTTGAATAGGGGAACTGAGACCAACTTCTGCATTTTTTTTTTAACTTTATTTCATCTTGAATAACGTGGAAATTCCAATTTTCAATTAAAAAAAAGCTGTGAAATGTTCTTTGGATGAAACAGTTCAATTATGGTTTTGGATGACTGATAATTTCATGGTTTACCTTTTGTGAAAGTGTACAGATAAAAAGTTACAATTAAACATTTCTACGTTTTTTTCAACAAAATATACAATGATTATTTGTACGTTAGCAGAGAATTTGATATAAATTTAGTGAAACAAACGATTAAGGAAAAAGAAAATAATTTAGCATGATCGTTTGATCCACAGATACAAATTTGCGTAAATTTTTACCATGTTTCACGATAAATCAAGAAAAGAAGTTTTCCGCCATGTTATTGAATATTTTCAGAACGATATTGATATTGACTCAAATCTACTTTTCAACCATTATGATATAAACAATTTTAAAATGCACTGAACTTAATCTTCAAGCTTTTCCGATAAAACTCATTTCAACTCAGACATAATATTGTAGAATTGATAGCAACATGACTGAACATTGCTATTGGGTAATTAGGCAAAAATGACGTATTTTAGCAGGCTTTTTAATACAAGTAGTATACGAATATTATTCCATATTGATAAAACTTAAGTACACTGTGTCTAAACTACCCCGGATAAAAATGTTCGGACTCAATAGTATATAATATCCGGTACGGTGAGGGACCATCGGCAGACAGAGAAATGGTAGGATTTCTATTTATTTATTTGTTATTTTTATGATATTGAAGAAAATAAATAAACATATAACTAATTTCAATTATGAGATAAAATATTTTCTACAACCGTTCTGAATTAACGGAGAAAAAAGTAAAAAGGCATGTCAAAATGATGAATTAAATGACCTTTGGATCGAATTTGTTTAATTTCTCGTTAAATTGTGCATATTGTATGGAAAGAAAGGTAAGGCAAGAAAGATATTAAGATGGAAATTGCAAAATTTTGTCACTTCGTGCTTCTCAATGTTTGTATTTATGTGCATGGAACGAAATAAATGGGTCATGTCAAAATGGAAGGACCCGGATTTGTCTTTGCATAAGGCCCGGTTTGCTTTTTTTTTAAAACAACAAATTTACGAAAAGCAACGTTAACACGATTCAGAATAGTGTCCGTCAAAAGAAATTCAATATAGATGTTATTGGAAAACAAGCCTGTCGTGTTATGATTTATTTTAAAAGGAAAATTTTAGAAAGAAGGACACATTTTTTGAATGCTATACGTATACCTTTTTCTGTTTCTACGTATACCATGTAAGAAACAAGATTCAAAATGTGAATGTACATGGTTCCTTGTTGCACTCATCTGATTTAAGCATGCATTTCATTAAATCTATTATAACATCATGATTTTTGTTTGTTTACTATACTTTAGCACATAATACTTTAAAATTAAATAAGAAGATGTGGTATGATTGTGTCACCATATCAATTAATTAAAAGAGTAGAGCTAGCATACTTTATTATACTATATGCTATGTTTAAAATATTAACTCATTCATTCATTTATTCATTCATTGACGGACAGTCATAAAAAGACTTTAGGTTATACTTGTATTCTACACGATTTAATGGTACATGCAACCCCGCAAATGTTTCTGGTACTGTGTATACTGTGTTACAGTTTTTCACACTTGAGCAGACACATTTCAAGTTCAAAGGAAACTTTAAGCTAACATTTGAAATAAATGGTTTGCAGCATATTATCGTCACAATATCTACTTCTTTTTTAGAACAACCTACTTTGTAGTTAGAATCTCTGTAAAATTTGCCATTCTACATGAGAGTTAAATGAATATAAATACAAAAGTATCATAAGAACATAGGGTAACAATTGCCTGTAGCTGAAATGAACATGGCAGTTTTCGAAGATAATGTCATTGTCATTGTTACAATGATTTGAATGTAATTAAATCGTGATATTAGTCATGTCTAGTGTTAAGAGAACATCTTCTTTAATATACGTGTCTTTAATTCCATAGAAAGACGTATAAAAAGTATCTCACTAATGTACTGTGCTGTTGTTTTCCGACTAATCATAGCATCGGTAAAATACTTTGCCTTAATTTACATATTTTAAATTTAAATTTACAGGTGATTCAATGAACGATGGGGATAACAATCCAATGAATGGTATGATGTTTTCTACTCGTGACAAGGATAACGACTTAAAACCACTTCGGTCGTGTTCTGATTCCAAAAATAGTGGTTGGTGGCATGCAAAATGTACTAATGCCAACATCAACGGTGTGTTCAAAGACAACCTTAATTGGAAATCGTGGCGCAAAGACGGCATAACAAAGACAAGAATGATGATTAAACCAAGAAATAAAAAAACATAAGAAAAAATGTATGATAGATGAAACCTTTATAATACAAACACTTTTTTGATTTTTTTTTTATATCAATGTATTAATCTTGACATCCGTAAAAAATGGTATACTAAATTCAGTTCAATTATCAAAAACCAAGGTTATCTTGGCTTCACATGCAGCGAAAACGATATGACCATAATAAATATTTTACAATGCAATGACACATTACTCAACGCTATAATGGGAATAATAACCACTTCAGATTCATATAAACATAAATATATCTAGAACAGTATTGATATTACGAGTTAAAGAAATGCGAACGCCTTGTTTCATGTCAGATACGATTGCTCTGCTATGTATTTTACACCTCCATACAATAATATCAACGATATTTTTCTTGCTTAATAAACTTGTCACATTCTCTTGCATGCTTTCTTGTCATCAATGATGAAGTGCAGTTGGCTCCTTTGTTTATTGTGAACATAAACTGTGATACGTTATTTCGGTATGCGCTCGCTTACATTGACATCTTGGATTTCAATCAACATAAAATATATTTTTTAAAACATTATATGTGGGGTATGAGAGAACTAACTACCAACTTACGATTACCGATTACAGTAAAACAGAAGGTAATATTAATTAAAACTTATATTTCCACAGGATTGGCTCCAATCTATTCTTATTATTTGTTTTAACTGGCATGCCTTTTGAAATAATTATTCTGAAATCTTTTTTCCTTTTCAACTTCATACACCATGTACAACCAAAAACATTTAAAAAAAAAGTCTAGATTTTGTTTTATCTTCGTTTTATGGCATATTTAAATCTTTGAATTTGAATTTTACCATTTTTGTTTTGTAAGCTGGTTGAAAAAAAAATCTTTTTTCTGGATGTCAAAGGATGCCTTACTAAGTTTCGCCTATTCAACATCGATTATGTCAATTCTGCTTTATATAGTTTGTATGTTGTTTAAGATTTGTATTTGTCTATAAATTTATATGACTGTAATTTCCCCTTCCATACCCAAACCGAGTCAATTAAAAAAGTGACAAAAAAAAGATAGAAGATATCATGTTAGACCAGCGGTGAAATCATAAAAAAAAGTGATTTATTGCACCCATAGAACACATGGCTAAATCATATATCCTTGGAAAGAAAAAATCGTAAATTTTCAGATTAATGGTGCCATAATCCTCAGAAGTGGTCAATTTTGCATAAAGGTTAACAATTATATATTTCCAAATGTTGTATTCTTAACTGTAAATTTGGTGTTTATTTCAGAACTTGTAAACATATTGTTAAGTCGATATTTGATTCAGCATTTATGAAGCTTGTAGGAGATATCAAATTAGAAAAATAACGTTGTTATGCATTAAAATTGACGTTTTTATTAGTTAAGAATTTTGTTCAATTATGACTCAATTTTGTTTCCATACAAGGATAGCCTTGAACTTTGATTATACAAATTCATATAAAAATGTACTTTGTAATAGACTTGTCAGTATTTAAAACTTAAACGGGAAGTAAAGAAGGGGAAAACTTAATTTTATTGAATTTAGTCCCACTGACTTATTAGTCAGTATTTGACATTTTTATTTCAGACTAAATGTATCTATGACATTTCTGTTTTTACATAAACATGTGTTCGTATAAATGTTTTCAAAATATATATTAGTATCCTGTCAACGTTTCTTCGCGTTTTTTGACGTTTGTAATGTGCCGAGTACCATATCGTATAGAAGGAAAATAATGTTTGTGTGATAACTTACATAAATGTATTAACAACAGAAAAAAACAATAAACAATAACTGAATGCAAAGTAAGTCTTTTAAATTCATTCGAATGTTTAAGATGAAAATAGCTCAAATAATTAATCAGCATCATCATCATCATCATCATCAACATCTGTCAAGTATGTATTGATATAATGACACAGGTGTTTTACATTGACAAAGTCAGTACAAGACAAATTATTTTCAAAACGCACAAATCTTATTGCACACTGATTAACCTTTGCACATGCACACCAAACCTTGAAGGAAGTCGGATGACATTTGACCTTCAAACAAGAACGGTTCAAGAGCAAAATTTCCTGCTTTCCAACTAAAATTGTAGAAGCGACCCAAGAACCGATTTAGCATCATGCGCATTCACCAGATTTTTCAATAGAGATCTCAACACGCGTAGTTAAAATGATGCTTCAAGGTAGAAATTGGGCTTAGTTAGAGCATTTACAGGTGGCAAATTTCACATATAGCCTGTTCAGATTTTTATGGCAACGTTAAGACTTTTTCTTGGCATCTTACCACATTGCTATCAACCTGACGTCAAATGAATCATTTATATATTATGGTGATATATAGAATAAGGCATTGCATTGACGGGGGATTACTCATTGAATTGATAGGGTGTTTCTTTCAATACCTTTAGTAAGGATTCCAACAGTATGTGCAGTCGGAAGGAACGAACATAAAACTGAATTCATTGACTCTCACAACTTAGGAATGTAACGCCGACAATACGTAGGGCTAGACACTATTCCTGTGTGAAACTACAATGCAGATATACGAGTCATTAAGCGAAAGCTTTAGTGGCATCATCAATAGTAACAACAGTAACGGTACCAATTTTACTGCACCAGATGCGAATTTCGACAACAAAATTATTCAGTGATGATCGAGATCAAAATGTTGAAAATCCAAAACTTATTAAAAAAAAAATGAAGAGCTTATAAACCAATAAAAAAAAAAAAATAGTATACCCAAAGACATGCAGGAATCAGAGCTTAGCATGAAGGAGATATTATCCTTAATTTAAAATGATTTCAAACCTTTTGAAACAAAAAAATTTAAAAACACATTATACGTTTTTTTCATTTCCAGTACCGAAGTACTGGCTACCGGGCTGTAGTAACAGTCCACTAGCAGAAGTATCGAGCAGTTGTAATATTAAAATAAGGGTACCTATTTTACTGGATCAGATGCGATATATATGGAACTGCTGAATACTATGTTAGATTTACCTTTGCTTTGTTGTAGTTGTATAATAATTGAATCGCTGTAATAATTCTACAATATGGCGTTGTCAGCTTATTTTCGATTTATGAGTTTTTATATCCCTCGGGTATCTGGAGCCTGTCTTTTATCAATTTATAACAATCTTTTGAAAAGCTTGGTATTTTGAAACAGAGGAGAGAACATCATAAAGGAAAGCATCATGAATTTTAAACGGATGTTAATTCTCTTTTTGCCTTATCTATGTTTATAACGGATTTAAATAGGTTTGACTTCAGAAGTACAGGGCTAAAGTAGGTACAAACAACTCATTGGTACATGTATAAAAGTGTAACAAAAATATGGAACTCTTTGAAAATTCAAAATAGAGAAGTCCACATAAAATTTGACAAAACCTCCAGCAAAAAATCCAAATGACGCTAAAGAGTCATATGAAAAAAGAGCATAATAGCACAAAAACAATAAAAAGAAAACTGTGAATTAATAAAAAGTTCACAACTTCAGCACCTATTATCTATCGCTCGGGACCATGTTGTATTATTTGTGAAGTATACATCAAGCTGATAAAATAAAGATATATAGTACCAAGAAAAATCACCGACCTTTAACGTTTTATACAGATCAGACAGGAATCCGACTAAAAAAAATATTTACATCAATATATGGTCTTCAACAAAATAAACACTATACAAGTTTTAAAACCATATATCATATTGTTAAGCTTGTACAAAACGAGGTTTGATATCTTTTAACGTTATAATCTCTTCTGTTATTCCATTGAAACATACACTCATTCCAATAAAAAATTTAAAAAAGACTTATAGAAGATACCAGACTTATAGTTCGTCTTTCTACAAAAGATAGTGACGCCCGAATCAAAAAAAGTTAAAAGGCCAAACAAATAAAGTTCGAAGAGGTGGAGCATTGAGCACAAAACATACCGAAAGGTTTTTCAAATACAGCTAATGTAGTCTATTTCTGGAGTCGAAAATCCTAAGTATTTCGAACAATTCTACGTTTTGTAAACAGTTGATTTACTAATATTACCATATCAATGATAATTCGTGTCAACACAGAAATACTGACTACTTACAATGCAGTGTTCAATTCAGTTCGACAATACTAATTGCAATATTCTAACATTGTATAATCCTTTTTTTTTAATTGAATGGCTGTTTCATAAGCGTAAGTCATAACTATGCAATGCATCAATGTTCCGATGTAAAATTAAATTACCTTCTTAATTGAAGTTTTGATGAATCGTACTATTCAATAGCTTAAAATATTGCACACCAAAAGTACCTATGAAATATTTACCGTGTTTACTAAAATGTTACGTAATAAGTGTTATTATAATATAACATAATATTGATCTAATGGATAACAGTCCAAAGACAATAAAAAACCTACTCAGAGCATGTAAAAAATATAATATAGAAAAATACTGAACTCCATAGAAAATTCAAAACGGAAAATGGCAAAATTGAAAACTTCAACACATCAAACGAATGGAAATATTTCTTACTTGGTACAGGCATTTTCTCATGTAGAAAAAAGGTGGATTAAACTTTGTTTTAAAGCTATACCTCTCACTTCAATGAAGGCTACACTGGTTTAATTTCGTGAGTCCGGAACAACTTTCTGAATTTTCTTTCCTCTGCACACTTAAACAAAACATATACAAAAACAAATTTGTACATGTTTTGCGTCCGAAGCGATTTTTCCAAAGCAAAATATTTGAAAGCCGAGGGTGTATAAGTAACGAATATGTTTAAAGGGTACCTTAAAATAATCGATCGAAATTTAATTTATTTTAGAGAGTTGAAACCTTAGTTTCTTAATAATTTAAGAAAGGTTTGTCATAAATCATGTCAGTACCGAAGCAGACTAACTACTGAGCTGATGACACCCTCGGGAACTCATAGTCCAGCAGCTATCGTATTTTACCACTACTTTAAAAAAATGACAAAAAAATAAGGAACAACGACAAAAATCGAAACTACCAAATCTAATAAAGATTGAAAGATCAGGAAAATATGGCTAACGCTTTGTACCCTTCTTCTTGATTTTCGTAGATTTGTAATACCAAATGTACGTATTTACGGTAATGCAAACGGTGTCAACACTTTATAAAGGTGTTTCGTTGGTTATCGTATATTATTCATGGGACTGAGAAATGTAATTTACTCCAAGTATTATCTAAATGCATTGATGATCAGTCATACATTAATTTCATGATATGAAAGTTAAAAGCTCGACCAATTGAAATCATACGACTTTCTTATATCAAGTTTCAAGCTCCATTGAAAAATAAATAAATTTCCAAAATGTTTTTGTGATATTATTGAAATTATAATTTCAATTATTTATGACATGAAATCAATAGATCAATATATCATACAATA